GCCGCCGCGCCTCCCAGACGCGACCTTGCTCGGGGCTCAGTCGTGTTCCTCACACTCCACGCGCCGTATCGCGTTCGGACAGCATCAGTTTACTCCGTCCGAAAGACTGCCACAGTACGAACCTACTTTTAAAATAGGTACAGCTTTCTTTAATGTCCCAGTAACTCACCATAACAAAGCTTGGCATGAAAATCACAGTTCTTTAAAAAGCTCCCCCCAGCCCCGCAGCCAATTAACATTTTTTTAAATTAAATTACTTTTCCAAAATGGCAAAATTAGCTTGTTATCCGTGGTGCATCGCTTTAAACCTTTTTCAGCTTTTTATTTCTCTGGGAGCTATTTCCAAATCTCTAAATCAAATTCTTGGATTATTTCTTAGTTTATCAACTTTTAGGGGATACCCACTAATCCCTTGCTAAAAATAGATGGGGACAGCTTTCATCCCTGCACAGCTTCCCCCTCCATAATCACAGCATTTCTTTTCGTTTCTCTATTGGCCACTTTTGTGACACACTAATTTTTTTAACTGGTATTTCTTGTTCCAGTAAATATATATAGGGTCTGTTGGCTTCCATTTTTATGAGGCCTGGCTAAGGAGTCTGCTTAAAAAATATTTTTTCATAAAAATATTTTTTTCAAATAAAATTTTTATATTTACTTAAATACTGTTTTTTATTTGGTCAACTTAGACATATGGTTCACAAATCAAAGAGAAGTGAGTCTGCCTTTTTTTTTTCTATGATAAAAATAATCTCTTTAGGAGAAAATGGAAAAGGCAGGGCAGTGTTTCAGATTGAAAGGAATTAAGGAGACAAAACCATCCCAACACTGTGTGAGGTCCGGACCTTGTTAGGAAGAAGCAGAACCTGGGGGCAATGGGGAAATGGTTCATGGGCTGACAATTAGCAGGCAGAATGCATGTCCCTTCTTGTTAAATGGGGTCTCGGTGTAGAATGCCCTTATTCTTTTTTAGAAGATGCATGTGGAAGTATTTCAGAGTTCATCAAAAGAGAGAGAGAAAGCATATATGACAAAATGGATGTTCACATATGATGAAATTTTTATGGTAAAAATTTGGGGAACATAAAGACAATTTAGAAACTAAGAAAGAAATGAAGTTATATGCACAGTGGCACAAACCCAGTCCTCCACACCAAGCTTCAAATCCTGATTCTGCCACCGGCTGGGACCTTGGATCTGTTGAATCCCGCTTCCAAGCTTCAGTTTCCCCAACTGAAAAATAGTGCCTACCTGTTGGGGTGGTGCGCAGTTAACAGTAGCTATTTGCATTTTGTGAAGGGTTTTTCTTTACCATTGTCTGGTCACCTGCTACTAACTGCTGTTACCATCCTACCTGCTGTTGGGCTCTTCCCTCTTTTTCCTAGAGATGGGTGTGTTTTTTTATTGATTTGAGAGAGAGAGAAAGGGGAAGGGAGAGGGAGAGAGAAATATCCATGTGAGATAGAAAACATCAGACATCCATCAGCTGCCTCCTGTACACCCCTACTGAGGATCAAGCCTAAAACCCTGGCATGTACCCTCACCAGGAATCGAACAGATGACCTTTTGGTGCATGGGATGTCACTCAACCAACTGAGCCATACCAGCCAGGGCGCTTTTCCTTTTTAAAATTCCTCAGATGACTCTGATCTTGCCACTGTGTTCTGCTCTGTCTTATCCCATTACTTCCTAAGCATGTCTCCCCTTCCTCCAGCCCGCGTTCCTCTCGTCAAGGTTGCGGTGGCTGCATGGTCCCTCACACCATGCGAAGGACTGCAGTCCCATAGCGGGACTTGGACTGCTAATCATAGTAACAGGGTCACAATGGCAGCTAACATTTGTCGAGGGCCAGACCTTGATCTTCATTACACATGATGTTCATTACATTTAAATTAGAATATAACAAAAAGCCGAAGTCACTTTGCCTCCACTTCACCCACGCTGTGGCCCAAAGGGCAGCTGGGTAATGAGAGGGTAATGACAGTGAAATGACAGAGAAACAGAGAGAAATTCCAAACCATCTATTACTGTCTGCTAAGAAAGATGGTGTTTAACCCACTGCATCTTTCCCTGCTTTATCATTCCACCAGTTTTTAATAAGTGTACTTTTTTAGGTAATTTCTTATTTACCTTTGTAACTTTACATTTTATGCTTCACTTCTAATTTTCTTTTTATTCTGGCAGCTTTTGATTCCCATGACGATATAAAGTAGGTGAGCCTAGCATCTTGGCTTCCCCTACCTCTCATTTCCAGTCTTGGTTATGCAATTGCTTGCACCCTGTCAAGATTGATAACATCTACAGTCTGCTCTGTTACCATATGTAAGTCTTACATGCTTTTTTTAAAATACATTTTTATTGATTTCAGAGAGAAAGGGAGAGGGAGAGAGAGACAGAAACATCAATGATGAGAGAGAATCATTGATCAGCTGCCTCCTGCATGCTCCATACGCAACCCAGGCATGTGCCCTGACCAGGAATCGGACCGTGACCTCCTGGTTCACAGATCGATGCTCAACCACTGAGCCACACTGGCCAGGCCTGTATGCTTTAACTATAAAATTTGCAGGGGGTTTTTTTGGACAGCTTTATTGAGGTGTAATTTACATCTTATAAAATTCAGCCCTTTTAAGTGTACATTTTAAGTGATTTTTAGTGAATTTTCAGAATTATACCGCCACCACCACAGTTTTGGAGCAGCACTATCACCTCCAAAATATCCCTTGTGCCTATTTGTGGTCACTCTCTGTTCCCATGCCCAGCCCCAAGCAACTACTAATCTACTTCCTGTATCTTTAGATATATCTTTTCTAGACATTTCATATAAATACATCATACAATATGTGGTTTCTTTAACTTAGCACATACACTGTTTTGAGGTTCATTCATATTGTAGCATGTAGCAGTACTTTATTTCTTATATTACTGAGCAATAATATTCCATTGTATGGGTGGACTACATTTTACTTATCCACTCACTAGTTGATGGACAGTGTGGATTATTTCCAGATTTGCTTCAATCAAGTCTGTTTGGATATGTTTACATTTCTCTTGGGTAGGTAGATAGTCTAGTGGTAGAATTGCTGGGTTTCAACATAAGTTTATTTTTTTAACATTCAACTTTTAAAGTAACTGCCTGTTTTACGAAGTGGCTATACTATTCTATGTTCTTGCCAGCAGTGTGTGAGGGTTCCAGTTTCTCTGTGTCCTCACCAACCTTTTGAACATTAGCCATTCTAAGTAGGCGTGAAGTCAGGTCTCATTTTTTAAAAATATATTTTTATTGATTTCAGAGAGATACAGAAATATCAATGATGAGAAAGAATCATTGATTGGGTGCCTCCTGTGCACCCCACTCTGGGAATCAAGCCTGCAACCCAGGCATATGCCCTGACCAGGAATTGAACCGTCATCTCTTGGTGTATAGGTGCCACACCGGCTGGGCTGGTATCTCATTTTTATTTTAATTAGTATTTCCTTAATGACTAATGATGTTGAGCATCTTTTCATGTGCTTATTAATCATTTGTATATTTTCATTGGTGAAATGTCTGTTCAAATTCTTTGTCCATTTTTAATTGGTTTGTTTGTCTTATGGAATTTTTAAGTGCTCTTTATATATTCTAGATACAAGTCCTTTCTCAGATATATGATTTGCAAATATTTTCTGTCAATCCATAGCTCATCTTTTCATTTTCTTAAAAGTGTCTTTTGAAGTACAGAAGTTTTCAATTGTGATGATGTTTAATTAATCCATGTTTTTCTTTTATTAATTACTAGAGGCCCGTTGCACAAAATTCATGCAAGGAGCTTGCCCCCCCCCCCCCCCCCCCCCCCCGCACAAGCCTGTGGGCAATTTGTCTTTGGCCACCTCAGCTCGCCTGCTGGGCCATGGGGTTGAGGAATGAACTGTGTGGAATGGTTTGTGCGGTCACTGCCACAGGACCCACTAAGGGCAGAACAAGAGGAAATGGGCTGAAACAGTAGTGGAGGTCCTGGGGCCAACGGAGGGAAGGAGGTGCTATCTCTGGTGACAGGAGAGCTCAAAGTACCAGGGTGCCAGCTAACCTCCTGCAGGAGGCCTTCCTGGGTGTGTCACAGAGCTGTGGGGCCTGCTCCCGCCAGGCCTGTGGCTGTCTCCACCACACCCTTTGACACTTACTCAGACTTTTTTTTAGTTTCAGAGAGGGAGAGAAAGATTCAAACATCAATGATGAGAGAGAATCATTGATTGGCAGCCTCCTGCACACCCCACACTGGGGATCGAGCCTAAAACCCAGGCCTGTGCCCTCTCTAGGAATCAAACCATGACCTCCTGGTTCATAGGTCAGTGCTCAACCACTGAGCCATACCAGCTGAGCTATGAATAATGTTTTTAAAATACGTTTTTAGCCCTAGCCAGTATGGCTCAGTGGATAAAGGATCTGGGGTTCGATTCTGGTCAAGGGCAGGTATCTTGGTTGCAGGCTCTTCCCTGGCCTGGGCCCTGGTGGAGGCTCATGCAGGAGGCAACCAATCGATGTGTTTCTTTCATATTGATGTTTCTCTCTGTCTTCCCCTCTCTCTACCACTCTCCCTAAAAATCAAGCCCTGACTGGTTTGGCTCAGTGGATAGAACGTCGGTCTGCGGACTGAGAGGTCCAAGGTTTGATTCCGGTCACGGGCATGTACCTTGGTTGCGGGCACATCCCCGGTGGGAGGTGTGCAGGAGGCAGCTGATCGATGTTTCTCTCTCATCGATGTTTCTAACTCTCTGTCCCTCTCCCTTCCTCTGTAAAAAATCAGTGAGGTATATTAAAAAAAAAAAATCAATGGAAAAATATTGTTGGGTGAGAATTAACAAAAACTATATGTTTTTATTGATTTTCTTTTAGAGAAAGAGAGGAAGGGAGAGAGAGAGAAACATAAATCAGTTTTTTCCCGTATGCACCCAAACAGGGGATCAGACCCGAAACCTGGGCATGTGTACCGACCGAGAATCAAATCAGTGACCTTTCAGTTCACGAGATGACACTCAACCGAGCCACACCAGCCGGGGCTATGAATCATTCTGAATTGATATTTGTGTTTGGTGTGAGGTAAAGGCCTCAATTCATCTTTTCCCATATAGATTTCCTAGGACCATTTGTTGAAAAGACAGTATTTATGCTAAGAGGCCATTGATAAATGTTCTTGTCACAAAAACAAAATTTCTTAAATAGTTTTTGTTTTTCCTGAAATTTCTCATAGCTTTAATTTTATCCTCCCTGCCCCCCTTTTGAGAGAAGCATTTTTTTCTATTTCTAATGCATCCAATCTATTTCTTGGAATTCCTTTTCTTCCTGAAGGTATCCTTCCTCTTCTAGTGTCTTGTTTTAAGTATCTTCTCAAGTCGAAGTGTACCCAGGACCAGCTCCATAATCTGCAGGGCCTGCCCCCACTGCCTGCCAGGCCTTCACCACCCTCTTGTCTGTGTCCTTGTGTTATGCATACAGTGGGGCCTTGACTTACGAGTGTCCGGACTAACGAGTTTTTTGAGATACCAGCTGTCTCTCCCCCGGTTTTTTGCATTGAGTTGACAGAGTAATTTGAGTTAACGAGCTCCTTAACGAACTCCTTAACGAGCTTAGTCTCCGAACGAATTAAACTCGAAGTCAAGGCCCCACTGTATATGCATACAGGGTCTTTGATCTCTTCCTACTCACCCACCTCCCCCTGCCTTCCCTCTGAGGTACAGTCTGTTCTATGCTTCTATGTCTCTGGGTCTATTTCGTCCATCAGTTTTATTTGTTTGTTTGTTAGATTCCACATATGAGTGAGATCATGTGATACTTGTCTTTCTATGATTAGCTTATTCTGCTTAGCATAATACTCTCCAGGTCCCTCCAGGCTGTCTCAAGGGTAAGATATCCTTCGTTTTTACTACTGCATAGTATTCCATGGTATAAATGTACCACAGCTTTTTTAAAAAATATATTTTATTGATTTTTTACAGAGAGGAAGAGAGAGGGATAGAAAGTGAGAAACATCAATCAGCTGCCTCCTGCACACTCCCCACTGGGGACGTGCCCGCAACTAAGGTACATGCCCTTGACTGGAATCGAACCTGGGACCCTTCAGTCTGCTGGCCAACGCTCTATCCACTGAGCCAAACCAGTTAGGGCAACCACAGCTTTTTTATCCACTCATCTACTGATGGACATTTGGGCTGTTTCCAGATCTTAGCTATTGTAAATTGTGCTGCTATGAACATAGGGGTGCATACATTCTTTCTGATTGGTGTTTATGATTTCTTAGGATATATTCCTAGAAATGAGGTCACTGGGTCAAATGGCAGTTCCACATTTATTTTTTAAATATATTA